TTCACGTTTTATTTTTATTTACTAATAAACACTATGAATTTCATATAGGGTGACAGTTTTGAAATTGACAAATCTATGTGTGTTACATTGAGTTGTCCCCCATACCCCTAGGTGATACGTGATAATAGATGATCGGCCTATTTTTTAAAAAACGTGGTTAAATTAAGTTGACGAATCTGTTAATTGATTGGTTGAATCAGTAGATCAGTTCCAAATTTGTATAAAATTTGTTATTTTAATATTTTTGTCATATTATTGGTTTTATCTATCTACTTCTATCACGCACACATCACAAATTAATTGTATTCACTAGGGAAATAGATGCTGATGGATCTTCTTGTCAACATCACAAAAGGTTTTGTCTTCTCTAATATTAATGCTAGAGAAATCATGGAATGTGGCCATGATACTTATTACATTTCCATAGAATATTACTTTTTTTAATAATTATTAGTATATGTTTGCCTGATTTCTAGTGCAGTTAACTCAGCGCCAAGTAATTTTTGAGCATCTTTTTGTATACGCAATACAGCTAATAGAAAAGCATCATCTAGTTCTGCTAAAGTTGGAAATACTGGATATAACCAACGTCTTGGACTTGTTTTGCTACGAGTAATTGGTGACATTATTGTTCTTATTTTTATTGAACGATTTAAATCTTTTTAATGGAATAAAAAACCACGTAGAAATTATATATATATATTAGATCCAAAATCCACCGTGTAACAGTATTTGTTCACTGAACTTCTACATATTTAGTGTTCGTGATACAAAAAGGAGTCATCAAAATGTAATTTATTTAAATTAGTTCAAGGAGTATGTATATGGGAAGGTTTTCAATAGAAAATAGAAAAGAAACCATGGAGTTGGGTATAATTTATAATCCAAAATAGTCTATTAGAAAATACCCGCATTAGTGTAGTAGATAACAGGAAACAGTAATATTTAATAGAATCTTCTAAATAAATTTAGATGAAATTCCAAATTTTAATATCTTGTTCATCTTCAACTACTTTATAATTATTATTTAATAGCCAGTCATTTTCAAATATATTATTAGGAAATACTTCTTTGATATTACACTCAACACCTGATATTTTTAATGTGTATTCCCTCCACCAAGTATTTAATGTACGACCAATCGAATGCAGTTTGAAGGATGGTAATTTATCTAAATATCTATATTCATATTATTAGTATTATAGTTACATGATATTTTTCCTCCTTCCATTTCATCTTCATCATCCACCTTCACTTCATCTTCATCTTCCCATATTCATCTTCATTCTCATGCTTATTAATATATTTACCTGAATAATTGTCCAATTCCAACTCCTTGATTTTCAATTAAATCAATAATTTCTTCATCATTTAGAATTATATTACTTTTAGCATTACATAGAATTACACCATCACACATTAAATTAACTTCTCTATCATATTTACGAAGTATTGTTGATCCATAAACTAAATTATTTGATTTATGTGATGAAACCAGCATGCTTTTAATTATTTTAATTTCAATGGTTTTATTAAACCATGAACTGTGATATTTAATTGTGTGGTATTATATCTGTCAGTAATGAGAAACATAATGGTGATAGTGATAGTTTATAAATATAAATTACCTCAAGATTCTCTGCAAGTTTCCATTTGCAGTCAAACAAATCCTTTCCAGACTAGTAAATTCTTCAGGTAATTTTAAATTTGTTTCATTTAATGACATCAAGTCACCAAAATTATTTGGAATTATTTTTATTTTAGGGTTGAAATTAGGTGATGATGATGATGCAGTTGAAGTTGAAGAGATAGAGAATTGTTCTTGAGTTTTTTCATCCATTAATGATTGTTATGTAAATTTTTTTTTTTCCAAAAATTGCATGAGATTTTTAAATTTTACCTACAAAGGTTCTATGAACATTATAAAACAAAAAAAAATGTAACAATACACAAATCAATGCATCTATGAATGGAAAATTGCAGATGTGCAAAGAATAATGGGTGATGAGACATCAAGGAATTTTCAATAAGAAAAATAGTTTCCAAGTCTTTTGTTGATTTTTTAAAACATAATTATCATATTTCACCTACTGTCTTTCAAGTGTAAAAAAAAAAGATTATCCATCTTATTGTACCATTGATATGATATATTATTGTGCACTTTATATTTTACCCCTTACCTTTGATTTTATTAATATTAATTGAAAAATTATCGTTTCAATGGATTTTATATTTAAATCGCGTTTCAGTGGACAACGACGAATTTTTTGGTAAGATTTTAGTAATAAGTACTAATCGCGTTACAACAGATTCACGTGATATACGTTTTCCAATTAAAAAAAATAAATCCACATTGTTATATTAAGATCAATCCACATTACCAAAATCCCTTCATTACTAAATAATAATATCATATTTCTAGATAGTGATTTGCATGAATAATTCTCAAACTTCCAAATGCATTACTAAATAATAATGTTAATCAAAATTTTCCATATGATTTTTACACGAATAATTCTCAATTTCTATATATATCAATTGATAATGATGAAGAATAATGAAATGCCAACTGAAGAGGGAATTCTTAATTCTATTGGAGGGGAGGATGTTATTGTAAGTAGCACAACTATTCCTAATGTTTTGATTAACGAAGTTGTAAAGCTTTTTTAAAAAAAAAATAATAGAATCATATATAATATTCAAAATTTGATATAAACAAACATTACTAGTTTTTTTCATAATAATAATTGATTATTTGTAGATTTTACTGTATTATATTAAGTATTATTATATATTAAGACTTCCTATATATCTTGTTTAAATGCATAGCTTGCTTAATATTAATATAATGTTTCTGAATTAATAAATCATAAATATATCATTAATGGACGGACGGAAGGATTTGAAAGGTTATTTTAATGTTATGTTCATAACTAATCTTATTTTAGAAATCATTAGTTTAATCATTTGACTCTTTTCTTAATGGTGCCATTAATCATTCAATTTTTAACAATTTGTAACATGATTAATTTGATTTTTTTTTCATTCATTTCATTTTTACAAAGGTTTTATTTTATTTTTA